TATTAAGACTCCAATTCAACCACCAAAGGTTGGAAGGGAGGCCCACAGAGCTCTTCATACTCCTTCACATACCTTTCTCCCAGTCTCCCTCTTCAAAAAACCCCCCTCTCAAGAGGGATGCTGCAATTAGAACTCATTGTCCTCCCAATCTCCCCTCCCAGAGAGATCTTATCGTAACCTACACTCTTGTTTATCTGTCACCCTGTGAACTCTAAACCTCCTGGGACATTAAAGCTTTAGATCTCATCTCTCCCAACCTTCCACTCCTATCCAGCACTTTACCCACCCCCAGTGTCCTCTGGGATGCATGGTCTGTCACTGATAGGCCTTCCTGTGTCCTCAACTTCCTAAATGCTTTTCTTCTCTGCCCTATGCTAATGAACTCTGAACATCTGCTGAAGAAACAGCTCCCCCAACAGCCCTGTCAAGTGGTGGCTGTCCTGTGTTCCTGGCTCCTCATGGCTTTTTCAACCACTGTTCCCCTATCTTCATTATAACCCTCCAGTGCCTTTGAAGCACAAACCATTTGACTAAACCACCCACACTGCTCCTTTTGCTATCATTGCCCATTTTCATGCCATTCTGTCTTTTCTTGAGGATTTTAGCTCCTGGCTTACTGCATATTTCTTTCTACCAGGACTCCTGCTGTCATTTAAATGAATTTGCCTTCTATAAAGACTATCTATATACCACCCTGGCCTCTTGATTTTTTTATCTACTCACTTTTCATGGACTTCTCACCCAACCTTGGCCATCCACTTCCCTTGTTTATTTCAGGACTTGCATCACCAATAACTGCACTGTTCCCCAAAACTCAGTTTCAAGCACACTACTTTCTCACCACTAATTACTTACTTGCTCCACTAATCCCACCCTGGCATTCTTTGAATCCACCTCCAATCCAGGGATCCGCCACCACTTTTTAAATGATCATCATCTGTCCTATGTCCTACATCCTTCCTTATCCATCACTGTAATTATTTTCCTTTCGTAAAATCTTAATTCCTTTTCTCCTCTGTCCCATTTGCCTGGCAATACCTCTAACCTTGGATGAATCCAACTTCTCACCTACTCTAATTGGAGAAAAAATAAACAACCATCTTGGCCCATCTCAGTTAAATTTATGGTCATAAACCTCTGGTGGGTTCTCAACACTGTCTAGCAAGCCTACTGCTATGTCCCTGTTCAATTAGCCCTCAAGACTAAAAATTCTAACCTCTCCTCCTCAATTTTCAACTTCTCCCCTCATACTCTCAGCTGGTAATTCTACTATGTCCCTGAGAAAATAAAAATGTGATCTTTCTCATCTCTAATCATCACATCTCCTAATATCTGTATCCATATACTTTGTCTTCCGTAGTATTAAAATGGATAAACTCTTCTAGTTCCTAGGAGGTCACACCTCCTCTGACATCCTGGAGCTCAGCCCTGGGGAAATTTACTCCTGCAACTGTCCCTCCTCTCATCTACAACATCTATGGAAGCTTTGGGTCCACACACACACATATTATGACATCCCCCACCTTAGAAACATTAACAAAAACCTAGATCCCACATTCCCTCACCAAGCACCAGGTGAATGTTTCAAAATGGTAGGTCTCTACCTGCACTTTCTTACCACCCCTTCTCTCTTGGGACCACTTACATTTCTTGTCCCAGCTTCACTGAACTGTCCTCGCCAAGTTACCAAGGACTTCCCAACTACCAAAGCCAATGTTTAATTGGACACCAAACTTATCTGGTCTTACTCCCATGGCCCCTCTTGTTCCCCAGAGCTATTTTAACTCCTTAAGTGACCCCATCCTTTATTGTGACATTAAATGTGACTCATGCATTCATAGTTCCTGAGAATCTCTAGTGTCCACTTCTCCTGAGTCAGAGTTGCAGATCCATCTTCCTATTAAAATGTCTCCATGTGCAAGTCTAATAGTAAACTTACATATCCAAAATTGAATGTTTTCCTTTTTTTCCTGCCCAGTCTGTCCTGTCTCAGTAAACGGCATGACCCATCTGCTCAGGCAACAAAATCTAAGGTTCCTCTTTCTGCCCCATATCCAACCCATCAACACATCCTGTTGGTTCTACTTTTGAAATGCAACAGTAATCCAGCTGCTTTTAAACACCTCCACAGCTATCACCCTAAACTCTGGGGAGGCTGTTAACAGACTACTACTTCTATTCCTACTGGTTGTAGTCATTGTCCACACTTCAGTGGTCCTTTCAGAACTGAGACTAGATCTCGTTATGCCCTTATTGAAACCTTTCAATGGCTTCCATTATTCTCATGCATAGACAAGGTCTTCACTATGGCCCACAAAACCATACAAAAGCTGGCTTCTGTCATCAGCCTTAATCTCATTTTTTCCCTTTCTTACTCTGCTCAACCATAATGGCCTTTTCCCTGTCCTCAATCATGCTAAGGACCCTCACTCCTCAGGACTTTTGTTATTCCTGGAATTCCCTCCCCCTACAGTCACATGGCCAACTCCCCAACTTCGTTAAAGTCCCTGCTTGAATGACACCCATCTCCAAGAAACTTTCCAAGTGCACTCAGTCTAAGGACTCTCTCATTCGCCATTTTCCTCCATAGTATTTAGTACTGGTGTTATCTAGTCAAACCTCATTACTCTGATTCTGTATTTGATTTTGCCTACTTGCTAAGATTTATTTATAACCTTAAAAATCAACACAGGGGCACCTGGGTGGCACAGTAGGTTGGACTTCTGACTCTGGGTTTTGGCTGAGGTCCTGACCTCAGGGTTGTGAGATGAGGCCCTATGCTGGGCTTTATGCAAAGCATGGAGTCGGCTTGAGACTCACTCTGCCCCTCACCACCCCTGCTCTCTAACAATCTTTACAAAAAACAAAACAAAAAACCAACACACAATGCTTTTGTGGTCATTATGGATACCCACAGTCGCCAACATGTGTGACCCCAGTTGAGGTCTAAAATCTTAACACCCTACCTACCTTTTTGACTCCACTCTCATACTGTAAATACATGTTATTTTAATGTATATCTAGCACATCTTTTGCTTTTTATTTGCCTTTTGTTGGTGATTTCACTGTTTAAATGGCCCCCAACTGTTAAGTGCTGTCTGGTATTCCTAAACACAAGATAGGTGTGGCATGCCTTACAGAAGAAATTCATGTGTTAAATAAGTTTCATTCAGGCATGACTTATAGTGCCTGTATTGGTTTTGTATTCAATGGGAATAAACCAATAACGTATACTACATAGTCTTTAAAACAGAAGCACACAAAATACAAAGATATGTGTTGATCACCTGACAATGATGTTGTGACCAGAAGCTCACAGGAACCTTTTGTTTCCCCTAGGAATAATGGGTTCATCTTTCATGTTCATGGAAACTTTATAGAACAGAACCACCACAAGTAAGAATCAACTGTATCTCTCCTATGACCACTTAACATTATAATATTTATTTCCTTGTTTAGAAAGAAGGCAAGTTCCTCTACTAGGCAGGAATACATATTTTTTTAACTGCTTGATCTCTGAAGTTTACAATACCGCTTGGCATTTAGCAGAAATCTAGAAATAATAACAAGGATGAACAAGCAATTCTTCAGAGAAACTCAACTGGCCAATAAAGTTATAGAAAAACTTACTTCACCAGTAATCATGGAAATGTAAATAAAAGCAGCTAAGATTTTTTTCACCCTCAATGCTACTACTTGGTGGTCAAGGTTCAGGAAAGTCAGTCATGCAATCACTAAGACTTTAAAATGCATATCCGTTGACCCAGTGATTCCACTCCTAAAAAATAAGACCTGGGTCTGCACAAAAAGTTAACAAGAGTAACTGCTGTGGCACAATTAATAGCAAAATGGTACAAATCACCTCAAAATCTAAACTGGTGAAACAATAATTCATACATAATGTAGCTATCCAAAAGCTGTCAAAACCATAAGATGGAAAAGTGCTCATTAAACATTAAAAAGATCTTACAAATAGGTACGATATAATTTCTTTAAAGTCTGTAAGCATAAAAATATGAAAATGTTTGTAAGTAGTTACCACTAAATGTTAAGATGGATGGTCCAAAATCTCCATACTTCTATTTGCCCAGTTTCTCCTGACAATAAACATGCAGTACTTTTGTAATCAGAAAACAGGGAATGGAAGGGAGAACTGAGAATAAATTGGACAAATCAATCATGAAGTGTGGAGTCCCTAACAGAGTACTCTATTCCAAGACTGCTACCCTTAAAACTTTAGTAACGACTCCTACTAACTCAAATCACTATAGCAGGATGTGAAGTACCCGAACTTTAAATGAAAACTGACCAGTGGAACACGTACTAACCTCTGTAGTAACCACACTCAATCCCAGCTCTACAATCTACTAAGCTTTGTTCTGTTTATGTTAAATGCAATAAAGTATCTCACTCAGAGAAATGTTGAGGTTTAAATGAATTAGTGTTTCATATAAAACAGAACCCAACTTATAGCAAGTCTCATAATCATCTGATTACCTCCCTGAACTGTTGATTGCAGAAATACATGTGCTGCGAGAAACATATTTATGATGTCAACTTTCGCATATCAAAGAAAATCAGGAAAATAGGTTATTTTCCTGTTAGAGATCATTTACTGACCATGTAACATTACTTAAAAATTCTAGTAACAAGGTTTCCTGCCATCTTTTATAGGTAGAGAAGGAAAGTTGTATGGGGGGTAAGTTTACATTCCAAAGTACTCAACTGGTACAAGAAAACAGGTTTAGGGTCTTATAGGATCACAGAATCATTACCAGTCACACATTCTGTATGCCATATACAAGGACTTAAGTTTGTACAAACTCGTGTTTTTCCTGAACCAGTGTAACCAAAATTAAAACGTAGAAATTTTATGTACCAGATTGTCAGAAACTAGATACTACTTTTCATTTGTAACATTCTGAAATCCTCATTCTACCACAAGACAAAAATGAAGCAAACAAGGAAAACAAATTCTCGATCATTTTAATTTATAAAACAGATGACAAAAAAAAAAAAAACCAAAAAAACAGATGACATGCTTTTTGAGTAGAACCAAAGGTAAAATCTTCAGTAGCTTATATTTTGTTCATGACAAGGCCAGTGTGTAAACACTACTTAATAACAGTAAGCTTTCCCAAGAGCAGTAATAAATATTAAACTAAAAAGAGGTAACATGCACTCAACAACTCTCAAACAGATATTCATCAAAATGAGGTAAGTCTGTGTCATTTGCTAAAGAATTTAATGCTGAAGTGGAAAAAAACTCATCAAAAATATCAGTCTTCATGGAATTTTCCAAGTTCAATGCCCTAATGCAGACATTAGTTGTCAGTGAGTCTGGCTGAACTTCACACTGATTTTTCTTGGTGGGGCTACAGTAATTATGGTCCTGTCTCAGATGTGTGTTTTGGGGAATATTGTTTAATTCAGTAGACACTGGTGCTGGGATGTTGTCATCTCCCATTTCTAAGTATCTAAAGTCTGCCTCCCCATTTTCTGAGTGCTCTGTTGAGACAACAGTTGCAGGAGACAATAATTCTGCTAAAATTTCTTCATGACTCTGACTACTGTATGGAAATCTGGTGCACCCAGATTTATTGTCAGCAGTATCAATTTGATACTGTAGTTCTTTTAACAAGTCTTCTATTGATTCACAATTGTTTCGAGACCCACAATGGGACACATGTTCTAATTTTTCACTTGGAAGTGTTCCTTTTTTGGGGGAAGACATAAGAGCAGCTAATTTCTTCTTTTTTGCCTTAAGTTTTTTAAGAAGTTTTAGACGAAGTTTATGAATCTGACCCTCAACAGAGTCTTCATGGTTTGCTGAAGAAATATCATTTTCTTTTATGTAAGAATCCTGACTGCGGTGAGCTCCGTATGAGGCATTTTCACATTTCTTCGAAACATCTGAATCAGCAATAACATTAGCAGCACATACATGAGAAGTCATGCTACCAGATGATGGACGGCTTGATAGAGGATTACTAACTGTAGGAGGTTTACTTGCACACCTATTAACTTTCCTAGAAGCCCGGTTAGCCTTTTGGTTTACGCCTTTTGTTTTAAAGCCACCAAAATTACTTGCCCCCTTAACTGAAGGCTGCAAATCAGTTACAGTGTTTCTGTTATGAGCTGAAACACAAGGTGGCATAAAAGAAGCACCCTTGCTTAATAAGCCTTTAACCCAACTTCCTACAAATGGTTTCTTCTGAGTTTCTTTCAGAGTTGGATTCTGTACTGACTTCATTATCATGCTTTGAGAAAATGTTGCAGTTTCATTTTTCATCAAATTAGATACCTGAGTTGTAACAGGTTGTTCTGGTTTTAATTTCTCAGTTTTGGGTGAAAGAAACTGTTTTAATGGAGTGTCCTCTAGGGCAACCGTACCCTCAACTTCTATTGGCTTTATTCCATGTATAGGAGGATGAGTAGCATGAGTACTATTCACAGATTTAGTAATTACAACGTCTTTTGTATTCATCTGTGCCAACTGCATGTTTACATCTATTTGAGATGGAAAGCTTAAATCCAAGACTTGGTCTTGAGTAAGCTTTTCAACACATGAAGCTGATAATAAAGAAGCTACTCGTGACTCTTGTGATTGCGAAGTATTTGTTTTGCAGACTCCTGCATTTTCTGCAACATGTTCATTTAGGAAATGTTCAGAGTTAATCTGTATTTCTTCAAGTGTCAAAGACAAAATATCATTGTCAACCAAATCTTCTGGACCTGAAAATAAATGATGTCCACAAGCTACAGCTTCACCCTGCAAGAGACTGCTAGGAGCAACTGCCCCATCAGTGGGGAGAGTTCTTGAGGACGGCCCAGCAGGGGCAGTATCACCCACAGAACACGATGTTGGAGAGGCTGGTTTCTCATCACTGAAAGCAGGCTCATCATTACTCTTTTTAAGTGGAAGGCAGGCAGATGCTTTATCTGTCATTTGGGATGTTTTTCTTTCCCAAATAACAATATGTATCTCTGAACCAAGAACTTCAAATTTCTCACGTCTTTCAGAACGTAGGCCTTTTAGGTCATCACATTCAAGCCAACTTCCTAGGGGATGAGGAAAGTTCAGTAAATAAAGTTAGACATTCAAAACTCACCAGCTTAGGTTCACTTTCTTCTGGCCACTTTAACAGCTATATCCCTGAATATCCAGCAAAGGAGAACATTAGAGAACATGGTCTTATCCTTACGTCACCATTTTTCTCTGCCAAAGGCTAAAGTCTTATTTGGCTAATAAAAGTTAAGGACTGGGACACCTGGGTGGCCTAACGGTTGAGTGTCTGCCTTTGGCTCAGGGAGGGATCGAGTCCCACATCTGGCTCCCTGCATGGAGCCTGCTTCTCCCTCTGCCTGTGTCTCTGCCTCTCTGTCTCTCATGAATAAATAAGGTCTTTAAAAAAAAATCACAGTATTATCACCCAATTTACCCAACAAAATTAGAAAACTGATTGTTTTTCCTTTTACACAAATTTTCAAGATAAATGAAGCCTGTAACCTCAAGTACCAATATTTGCTTCAATTGTTAATTTAGTTCAATTCTTTTCCTTTTTTTGGTTAGGAAAAAAACTAGAGGTTTTTAGGTGCTTGCTTATATTATTTCTGAGCTTCTATTTTCTCATTTGTCAAGTGAAAATGAAGTGATGGATGATAAGAGAAGAGGGGACCCTCCTTTACATACAAAAATCCCTCCAAGAAAACCATTCACTAAATTTTACGGATATATCACATGAACCTACTATTTTTAATTTTATACCCATTAAAGCTTTGAGACTTTTGTTTGCTTCCATCAGTGGTTTTCTACCACACATGCACATTAGAATTACTTGATTCACATTCAGGCTTAATCCCCAGAGATTGATCCAATGACACATAGGAGAGTCAGGACATTTTTAAAACGTAATCATGATTTTTACATGTTGTCACGGATGGAAACCATATAACCATCTAACCTACCTGAAGAGGATCTCAGATTCCCTAGAATGCAGCAAAAAACTAAAATAAGTTTTTTTAGTTTTGTTTACATTATTGAGAATTATTTCCCCTCTAAATCTGAAGTAGGGTAAAACTTTTTTTTTTAATTTTTTTTTAAATTTTTATTTTATTTATGATAGTCACACACAGAGAGAGAGAGGCAGAGACACAGGCAGAGGGAGAAGCAGGCTCCATGCACCGGGAGCCCGACGTGGGATTCGATCCCGGGTCTCCAGGATCGCGCCCTGGGCCAAAGGCAGGCGCCAAACCGCTGCGCCACCCAGGGATCCCTGAAGTAGGGTAAAACTTTAGGTGACAGTATTTCTAAAGTGAGTTTTACTTTGCAAAGTGCCTTTATAACCCATTATTGTGTCATTCACCCAAAACATCCCTAAGAGGAAAACACAAAATATGAAAAGTGTCTAAACAATAGAAAAGAGAAAAAAAAATATCAGAGACCCCTTACCAACAGCCTGATATAACACTTTATGGGGCTAGTGATCTTGTTTAAGACAAAATGAACACTTTGAGAAAAATAAACTCAATATTAAACCATATTAGATAAGTGGAAAGAAAAACTTAGCTGTACTTATGAGCTGTACTTTTAACTTTCTATTGAAAAATTTATTTAAATAAAGGCTTTATCGTGACTATACCAAATTATGGATTTCAGATATTCTATTTTAGTGAGAGAAGACTACATAGTTTGTAATGTCTAATAGTCTTAGATATAGATGTTTACTTCACTTTAAAAAATTTTTTTTTCTTTTTAAGTAGGCTCCATGCCCAATGTGGCACTGAGATCAAAAGTCACATGTTCTACTATAGTGAGCCAGCCAGGCACCCAATGGATGTTGATTTTTACATATATTACTAACAACTGCAAACTAAGCAAAATTTGTTTTTGTTCTTTCTCAATTAAAAACCTTCAGTATGATACTTTCTTTCTAAAAGAAGTACATGGTTACATATCTAAACAAATCAAAATTGCCACCATTCACTTTTCTATACTGAACATATATTACCCATGGAGTAAAAGCAAAAAAATAAAAGCAAACATACTAAGTGGAAAAAAGTAAACTGTAAACCAACACTAGTCTGTGATCTTCTCCTCTGTCTAGAAAAGAAATATGTATATGCATGTATACATATGCATGTATGTATATGCATACATCTACAAAGCAAAGATAGGAGTGTTTCTAAATCAGTGACAGAGGAGACGAGGGGGGCAGAAGAAAAGGCAAGGGCAAGAAGTGAGACGGAAAAAGTGTCAAGGCAAAGTTTGCCTTAAAAAAAAATCTGGAGTTTAGATTTCATGTATTATACAAGAAAGGAGGTTTTTTTTTTAAAAAAAAAAAAAGATTTTATTTATTTATTCATGAGACACACAGAGAGAGAGAGAGGCAGAGACATAGGCAGAGGGAGAAGCACGCTCCCTGCGGGGAACCTGATGTGGGACTTGATCCCAGGACCCCAGGATCATGACCTGAGTCAAAGGCAGACACTCAACCACCGAGCCACCCAGGTGCCCCAAGAAAAAGGTTTAAACACTTACCATCAGGATCTAAAATCCACGTTATAAAATGATTTGCTTGGTACTGAATTACAGAAGTTATTTGATAAAGACAGCCTTCAAAATGAAATGAATAGTGCTGCAAGTCATTACGTGGCAAGCCTTCCACAAAGTGCAACATGAATACAGGAGATACTCTGTGGGAGAGAAAGGCAAATGAAATCAAACAAATGTAATGTCCTGTGCCTGTTATACAAAAGATGATCTGAAGCAAGGAAGTCACACATAATACTCCCAAGGCTAACTGCACTAATTTTTCTTGAGAACCTCCAGATGTGTGCCTTAATTAGAAATGGAGAACTCACTCTACAAAGTATGTAACAGTAAACCCTTCTCAGAATGGTATCAGTGACAGTTGGAAGCCATCATGCAATAAGGTTCTAACACAGACCATTAAACAAAAATTGCTCTGTAAGCTGCAATGCTGCTTTGGCTTAAAGAAGATCTCTTTGTAACATAACTACTCTATAAAATCGCAGGGAAAAATCCAGACCTTTTAGACTTTTCTTGGACATCTAGTGCCCAAATGAATTACTTTTATTAGATAGATAATAGGTACTATGTGAAGCAAAGTAACAAACCTAAGACATTAAACATTTTAAAAACCTCAACATGCTAATAATTTGGCCTATTTCACTGTTATCTCAGGAAGCAGACAGGTCCATCGAAGTGCAACTTTTACTTAGGAATTTTAATTTGTACCTATATAGAGAAGAAAATACAACATACTAGTTGATTTACTAGAAACTTTAAGACATCCATGATTTCAGAAATACACTTTATGATTACAGTAACATGACAAACCAGAACATATAACCCAAAGATGTCCCTCAACCAAATTTAACAAAGCTTTCAGGATTTAAGAAAGATGTCGAAAATATCTCTTTTCCTAATATTTAAACAACTATCAAACTTACTTAGCTTATCCAAGTTTATTCAGCTGAAATGAACTTCAATGTCCAAAATGCAGATTATTCAGTGACAAGGAATGAGTAAGTTATCTCTTGTCAATCATTGTTAGAGGAATAATCAAGTCTTCAAAATTTAAGTACCTATAAATAAAAAGTCCTGTAAAACTGTCTATAATGCTAACCCTTTATCATACCTATTTAATTGATCTAAGATACCACCAATTATAACATGTACCACTAGTGAAGAAAACTGCCAACTAAACTCTATCATGCCATCAATTCTTAGATGTACTCCCATTTCAAATATGTTAACATGTAAAGAGCGTGCCTTTGAATCAATGACCCACAGTGAAACTAGAGATAGGTTCTCACAGCTGGACATGCAGGCTTAGGCACCTGCCTGACTCTATTAAGTACTAATACTTAGTTCTCTTGGTCTCATATGATACCTTTTCAAGATATCTTCTGAGGCCAGTTACTAAAACATTCTCTTGATTCCTAGACTATACAAACTCATAAATTTCCTGCCTTCTTTGTGTGAGTTAAACGTGGAAAGTGTTAAATAGGCAACATTTCTTTCTTAATGGCATATTTTTAAGAAATACAACTTATAAACACGATGGCATCTTGGATTCAATAAAATAAAGCATATGCCCCCTCCTCCTTCTCTAGTTCATTTTTTTTCTGGGTCCCCTAGGCTCTATCTAGTGTCCCTTAAAAGTCACAGGTTCCTCCTACCCATAATTCCAGCTGATCTCATTTCCAGCCACTCAGCTGAGAGTAGAACTTACTCCTACCTTGGGAATAGATATTGTTCTCAGGCTGCTGCTTACCCATAATGCCTGTCATGTCAAAGATGATGCTCAGAGCTGAGAGGATCAAGTTAGGTACTGATTCAACCATAAAAAAATTGGATGGGACAGGTTAACAGAACTGGAAAGAGAGTCACAAGAGATTTCAAGCTAAGATCCATTTGTATTCACCTCCCTAACTTGAGATTAAACTCCTCTTATAAGGATCTACTCTCAGGAAAAGAGAAAACAGGAAATAGAGAAAGCAGCACACAGGAACTGTGCTAACTGCCCTGCTACCCACAGACAGCAGGGAAACACTAAGTCCCTGTCCCACAAAGAGCAGCCACAGTCTCGTGTGAATAGCCAAGAGGACTAGTGTTTTATTTTTATCCTAACTAATGCAATGTAGTAATTCATATTTTAGAAAATGCAATTTTAACGATGTGAATATATGTATTTCTGAACCATAAAAATATAGGCTTTAGGTAAAAAAAAAATCTGCAAATGTAATTTTGAAATCTCCTTAAATTTTAGATCTAATTACATCACTGAATGATTTCATATTTCAGACTGACAGAAAAATGAAAAATATGAGTAAAATCAGACATAATTAATTAGAATTGGTTCATATTAATTGTAAACAAAATACTTCTTCAGAAGTATTCAACTCTTCAACAAAGGTTTACAACTGTATTCTTTAGAATTAAGTTCAAGGATCTCAGAAATAATATAGCATTTTTTTTGCCACACAATAAAGACAATACTTAAATTAAGAAACATAATTTTAATTATTTTATGTATAAGTACTCCATCCAAACTTTCATGACATTTTAATACGGTCTATAAACACAGAAAAGAAACATCTAACTTCTCTTCCTACCCTTTACAGTCGTTAAAAAAATAAATAAATAAAAATCACTGTTAAAAACGAAGTTTACATAAATAAGCTTTTCAAATGACAATCCAGCATAGTGTAAGACCAGACTCCTAGAGGTGGTCATGACAGTAGTGAGGTTCATTTTAAGAGTTTGTGATGTAAAATTAAATCAGGTTCTAAGCTGGTGCTCCACAACACCATACTCTGAATATAATTTCTAAATGATTTACTTAAAGTAGAAGATGTGAACTTGTTAGATCTCATTCACCTGATTTATCAATGGACTCTTTCTAATGGGAACATATTAGAAGTGCAGATTACCTGAGACAAAGTGTTCAGGGAACTTATAATACTATTAACTTTTAGAATGCTATAAGGTTAAATTATGCATAATATCATGATGGACCTAATTACTTTTAAGTTATCCTTAAAAACGATATTAAATTTGTTTCTAAATTCTATTAGATGTCAACAAATCAAGAATATGAATTTCAAAGTAAAAAACTACAGAGGACTTTATAAAGACCTTGTCATTTATATTTAAATGAATTTTACATACTAGCTCAATTACTTTTGAATATAGTAAAAGTCCAAACTATAAATTCTGCTTATAAATTAGAACTCTAAACACATTTCACATCGAAACACTTATACCTAACAGATACATTGCCAGATCAGAGCATGAATCTTTAATGTTAAATAAAGCAACATATCTGTATAATGAAAAATTTTATGTTGCAATGCGATCAATTAACAGATCAAACAAAATAGTAGTATAATTTTATCTTCAATGCTAGGGCTTGAGAAAGAGCAGATATAGCTGTTAGATGAAATCACATACACCAGGAAGCTCCAAACAACCGAACGGTCCAGTATAGGATGGCAGATACCCACATCTTGTTGCCCTTTTACTACCTTTTCATCAAGGACAAGGCTTAAACAAAAAAAGGCTCCTGTAACACTTCAATCTAAAAGTTTGAAACCCCAGACAGCCACGAAAGACTATGGACCTCAGGTTAAAGGTTCTCTTTTTCTTTTCCACTCAAATGCTATCAAATGATAGTGAATGACCAAAAAAAGGAGGGTAATAAACCAAAAGAAGGAAAAGGAGACATAAGCAAACAAGAAAACAAGTATTCTGAAGGCAAAAAGCAAGCAGGAAAGCGGTCACTTAGCAGACTGGATGAAGTGATGACATGAGTGCTATGGAGTGGGCACAATGATGAAAAGAGCATATGTATACCCCACAGATCCCTTGAAAGACTCAATACTGATAGGTGACAAATGAAGAATGTGGGGTTAAGGCCCGGATATAAAAACTGGGATTGTGACAGAATGAGTGCGTAAAGAGCACTCCCATGCACTAGGCCTGGAGAAGAATCAGTATAACCTTGAACACTGAAGCAGCAGCATAAAAAGTGGCAGAAGAATGGTTTCTAGAAAAAAAGAGGTGGGTGGGTGGGGAAGAGGATTCAAAAACTGTGAAACACTTAATTGTTTGGAAAATTTATCGATGGGTATGTGAAGAATTTGGAAAAAATTCACAATGCATACATAAACAATGCAAATGAAAACACAAAGAAATTAGTAATTCCAGGAAAAATTAAAAGTTACAAAAGAAATGAAACATAACCATGTATACTGCTTGGATAGAGATAGAATATATGTATATTTATAATAATTAACAGTACTGATTTAACAAAAAATGTAATCCTATAGGAAGGAGGACAGGGAGAGGATAGACATGGGGCCCAGGTATTGGGTGTAAGGCCCCAGTCCTCCACTACTATAAAAGAAGACTATATAAAGGTGGAATAAGACTGTATAAAGGTGGAATGAGCACACTGTTCTGAATTGCCCAAGTAAATACTACCTTAAAGGTGTCAAGTGCATGCTTAAAGGAGAGGAGGTAGGAGCCGCACTGCTCTTTTTTCCTTGAGTCTGGGCACTGTTAGATTAAGAATCTATTTGTATGAAAACAAATTTTTAGTACAGACTGAAGGATTTCCTGTCACATCCTCCAAGAGCATCAGAAAAGGTAAGAAAAGTTTAATGTGCCTGGTTTTCCGGGACACCAAATTATACCTCCAAACATTTCTTTACTGCAGAGTAAGAGGTGAGGTGACTAAACATGAAGGTTACAAAGGATGTCTAAGTGTGTGTGAGTATATTAACAAAGAGAAACAGACAAACTGCCTATAATGGAACTGACCTCTGAGTTTAAAATATGGGGCTTCTGGTGGTAGTTTTGGAGCAAGTAATTCCAACCAGTGGTCCCACCGAGGACAAAAAGAAAAGCTGGCAAAATATAATAAAAACACATCTGCTCAAAGGCAGCAGAAAGCTTATAAGAAGATGAAGAATTAGCTTGGGTTCCGGGAGAAGATAGGAATTCAGACAGATGAGCCTGTGGTTCATCTTTGAGTCATCTTAGTTCTTGAAATTAGATTAAGGGAATTACAGAATTCTAGTGACTCCAGGCACTTGGCAGAGGAGAGAAAAACTGGAAGATTAATATCCTTAAAGGGAGAAAAAAGGTAAAGGAAAGAAAGGCACCAGTAGAGCAGGGTCAGACAATCACCCCAAGACAGGTCTTCATTGGTATTTTGTCTGGGACAGTTTGCTTAGTGACCAGAATAACTATGTTATTTAACTCAAACTTCTGAAAAGTAGGTTAGTCATTACTTTCAATTCTACACACTAAATCCACCTTCATTTTTGTTCTAAAAAGAGTAAGGCAATTTTAACTCACTTTTCCAATATCATTTTTCTTATCTGTGACTTATTGCTGCAATTGTTACATGGACCAAAATGGGCAGCATTAAGTGGGTGCCACTCAGGGATGACATTTGTAAAAGTGACCAGATTCTTCATACATCTGCCAAAAAAACGAGACATAACTTAAATTCATTTAAATTCATTTACATTAATTTAAATCAATGCCTAAATCTTGGTTCATGATAAAATAAATATAATAAATTCACATGCCAATGTTCCTTCCAAATCATAGTAAAGCTCTCTGTGAAGACTCTTCACAATAATTATCTCTATTTTTTCAGCTGTAAGATAAAGAAAAATGTTCAAAGCAGGGTTTCTCAAGAGCAATACCAATGACATTTTACACTGGGTAATTCCTTGCTGTGAGGCACTGGTCCTGTGCAGAGGATGTTTAGCATCATCCCTGGCCTCTATCTAGTAGATGCCATTAACCGCCTCCAATTGTGGCGGTTAATGGCATTAGCTCCAAACACTACCAAATGTCTCCTGAAATACAAAACAGTCCCTAGTTGAGAGCCACTGTTTCCAAAATTATTAAGAGCTCATTCCTTCCTTTTAAGATTCACAATCTGGCTATCCATTTGACAACCAAAAAGGCATTTACAAATATATAATCAGGAATACATACAACTTAATTTTCTTAATCTTTAAAAAATTAGAATACCAGTTGTAATTGTTTCACTGGTTACAGAAGTTTTAAAATTGCACTTTAGCCTAAATACTTGACAGCAACAGGCACCTAGAAAAATGGTATTTAAAGATGTACACTACATCTCAACTGGATTCCCTTTAATAAAAATACCTTTAAAAGAGCAATTAATTACCAAAGAGACACTAGCTTTTTTTCTATATAATAACAAACACTGATCAATCATAAGTGACATAAGCACAGACTGCTACAAATATACCAGTTCTCAGGGAAGCTAACATTTTAAAAGCAAAGGGGCATAATGTCATCACTAAAATGGAATGACTTATTTATTATACCAAATTCTTTGTTCTCAGAGATGATGACTGAGTAAAGGCTCCTATTTTTTGATCTATAAACAGGAATTTGTCTCAGCAAATAAATGTTAATTGCACCACATGACAGCGAACATTTTTGAGCACTTACTATGTTCAAAGCAGGGTACTGTGCTGTGCTAAGCACTCATCTCCCAAACAACCCTAAGTGGCAGGTACTATTCTCTCCATTTTACAGACAAGCAAAGTGAAATACAGAGCGTATATCATTTGATGACAAATGATAGACCTGAGATTTGAATATAGGGAGTCTGACTCCAAACACGTTTTTAACTGCCTCCAAAATATACTTTGTAAATAAAGTAAAATCTTAAACTGGGCCTAAAAACAGCAGCATAAAACCATGAGTTTGCTGGATATTCTCCCAACAGATTTAGTGGAAACAGATTTAAACTATGATATACTAAGACGTATTTAATGAAATGCCACTTCATTTTAGCTTTTCCTCTTTAACTGTTTTTAGAACAGAAGAATTAACAAACAGCAGCAAACCCAATTGGCCAGTGGTTTCCTTCCCTTGAGCCCTCAGAGTTTTTTTTATACACCTCCAAAATGCACTTAACATTTTGCATCCAAAAGATCAAAAATAATTACTAAGTCACTGACCTTCAATTTTGTGTTTATCTGTTATCTCACTAACTTTGGCCAGGATACAGATTATTTTTCTATTGAGTTCCTGGCACACAAAATATACTCAATGAAAAGATGTCAAACAACTCAGATGTGGATTTTGAAAAAGCTGTATAATTAAGCTACTTTTAATCATCAAATTTGTTTATATTATTTAAAATCCAGGTGGTGATTAAGGAATATACCACAGTCAGCAGGAAAGTCTGAGGCCAGGAAACCTAAGCCTGAATTTTGTCACTTAGTAGTGTGTCACTTCGGGCCTTTCAAGGTTCACATTTGTCTTTCCACATTTATCAGATAAGGAAAAGATCAGTGATCTGATATGAATCAGTGACACAAGACCAGGAAATACTCGTTCTTATACTCATAAAAAATTATTTAAGTCCTAGGTATGAGTGAAATGCTTATTCTTACTCTCTTCTAGTCATTTTGAGCTAAGTGGTAAAAAGTTTTCTGGTTCTGTTACCTGCATACCAAAAATAATCTCAATTTAGATAATATCTAAGCAATAGTTTCCACTTACATTTTTATTTAATAATTTTAAGAGGCTCTAAATTTTCTAATTTGCTAGTAGGTAAGAAAAGAGGAAAGGACTGAAAGAATTATCTCTATTATAGTAATTTGAATAAATGACCAACAGAATCAGTTTGGTAATCTTTTTAACTGCCAGCCAGCAACTTTCTCTGTGCAATGAAAACTTTCTCTGACTCCTCTTCCAAAACATACTCTCCTCTTATTATATGGTCAGTGTATGGAAACAAAAGAAATCCACTGCCGCTTTCTTCTCACACGGTTCTTCCCAAGTCCCAATCTCAGAACATTAATGACTGTGTGTCAATCATGATCCCTCTAAATCCTCATGAGAGGATGAGAGAAGGCATGAGAGAAGGAGAAAGTAGGCTGAGACAGCTCACATGCAAGAGGATTCTGCTGGTGGCTGGTCTCATGGAGGACTAGGAGAGCCAAAGTAACCTCTCAGGACTATTAACAGATTCTGGAAGCCTAAAATCAGTTTCTACCATGATAAAAATGTAACCAAACAAAAACCCTAGTTGCTAACAGAGAAATAAACAAAACCTATCATTTCAAAGAATTCTAAGAAGTATTCTAACTCAGCAGGGAATCTAGAGGGGGAGCTGTGAGAGGAATGTACTAGTCTTCCCATTTGTACCCCCTTCCACTGCAAAACTTAAGAAAAAACTCTTACTAATTAGTAATCTAGGCAAACCATGGTTTTTTATTCTTCCAGTTTAAAGAAGCAAGTAAACTGTAGTTTCTGGGGATCAAATTTTTCCTTTTAATCTTAATGGTGAGGAGACTTCAAGATACAGAAGGAATTTTACGGAGCGCAGAAGGAACCATGGTGAGAGCAGTGCTATGAATGGAAGCAAGTTTTATTCAAATTTTATTACTCGGAACAATTTTTAATAAAATATGTCCATTTTAAAAAAGAGAGAAAGACTAACCTATTTTGATACTTGTGTCCACATTGTGAACAATCAAAATTCCATGAGAAAGAATACATGAAGAGCTTTTCAATGAGGGGTTCCATTTTTAAGAGCAGGGGAAGTGCAAACACGGGACTTTCCATATCACCTTTAAAAAGAAAGGGAAAATTACTGCTCATAATTAACTCAAAGAAGTAAAACAAAATTATTAACTTATCTTTTCTCACTATATTCACAGTACAAATATATGCGAAAATATATGACAGAGTTAAGTTATGCACAGTTGGGCAAGGGGGAGTTTTTAAGAAAAAAAAGTTTTTTTAAGAGAGAGCACAGGCACATGGAGAAGGGCAGAGGGAGAGGGAGAGAGAATCTCAAGTAGACTCCCATTGAGCATGGAGCCTGACGCAGGACTCAATCTCATGACCCTGAGGATGACGTGAGCTGAAATCAAGAATCATACACTTAACTGACTGAGCCACTCAAGACAGAAAAGACCTAAAAAAATCTCCTCAGATCTATTTTAGTTTTTCTCAAAAAAAAAAAAAAAAAAAAAAATCCTCAGAGCTTGAACAGCTCTAGAGTATAAGACAAAATTGTAATATAGGATTATAAAAACAAAATAAAAATATACAAACAGTTCGCCACAAATACTAAAAACAATATATCTATCCAGTTTAACACTGCAGAATAGTGTCAGAGTGGACAAAACCATTTCTAGGGATGCCTGGGTAGCTCAGCAGTTGAGCGTCTTTCAGCTCAGAGCGTGATCCTAGAGTTCCAGGATTGAATCCCACGTCGGGTTCCCTGCATGGAGCCTGCTTCTCCCTCTGCCTGTGTCTCTGCCCCCCTCTCTCTGTCTCTGATGAATAAATAAAATCTTAAAAAAAAAAAAAAGCCATTTCTAGTCCAACTCTCTTGTTCTGCATGTGGAGAGAACGATACACAGGGTTAAAGGGCCTGCCTCAAATCTCCCCACTGCTCATCTACCACTCTTCCTAAAATCCTTTAGGCTCATCTTTTAATAACTGAAATTAGGGGCATCTGGGTGGTTCAGCTGGTTGAGCATCAGCTCTTGATTTTGACTGTTGTGATCTCAGGCTATGAGACAGAGCCTCATGTAGGGCACTCTGAGTCTGCTTGAGAGTCTCTTCCTCTGCCCCTCTCCCTGCTCTCTAATAAATAACTTTCTCTCTCTCTAAAAAAGATAAATAAATAAAGTTCAATGACTTTAAGATCAGAGAAGATCTGAATTCTGGTGTCATTAAAACAAAAACTGAACAGTGAATCAATCCAGTCTTCCAGTTTTGAGATCAACAGACATTTTATTTTTTATTTTTTTAAAGATTTTATTTTTATTTATTCATGACAGACACGGGGGGTGGGGGGGTTGCAGAGACACAGGCAGAGGGAGAAGCAGGCTCCATGCAGAGAGCCGGACGTGGGACTTGATCTCGGGTCTCCAGGATCACGCCCTGGGCCAAAGGCAGGTGCTCAACTGCTGAGCCACCCAAGGATCCCTCAACAGGCATTTTAAATAGGATTTACATTCTACTCTTGTTTTCCAATTTATTTCTCACCTTCCTGTCCCCAGGGGAGCTTAACTGCCACTCTACTGATTCAACTCTAGAAAGAATCGGAGTCCTTCCTTCCGTTGCCTCCCCTGGGACACTATCACTTCCATGGTCCAGCTCTCCCCCTAGCCTGGAGTGACAGTAGCCTGGAACACGGCCAGAAGGAGTCACCTTGGCAGGACTCAACAACAGAGCAGGAGGTGTTACTGCCTAAGCATGCTCTATAAATACCAATAGTTAATTTAACAATCACCTTTGTAGCGACTCTTCCACCACTACTTTTGTACAAAAATAAAAATCAAAATATTTTTTATAAATAGAAATAAATACAAATCAGTCTCCTAAACAGGAACACACACAGCAACAGCACACGCAAACTGTTAAAACAGCACTTAATATAGCAGGAGTTTGTAATAGTTACTAGCATTTAAATCTTACTCTAAATATGAATTGAAAAGTAAATAATCTACTTCATAATGACAACATAGAATCTTCAGGTCTAAAAATACATATAATTCTCAGTGAATCAAAATATGAAAGAAAAATATAATAGAAGAGCTCAGAACACACTGTTAAATAAGTTATATGCCTACAGATTTTAAGGAATTTATCTAGCTCCTAAATGGATCCTAATTATTTTTCCTTTGTTTACAAATTTTATGGGTATTAAGCATAAAGCATCCACTAGAGAACATATAATACCAATTAATTTCAATTTTTATAACCTCCTGCTGCAATTAGTTAAGTGGTTTCTTTGCCTATAGTATCTTCATCCCAATGCCTACCCAACTACTAGTTTGCATATTTCCCTAAAATACCATCATTTGCCATGATACAAATCTTTCAGTGACTCTCTGCTGTCTAGTCAAGTTTTCCCTTCTGGTAATTGCTCACTAACGTTTTCTGGCCAATTTTCTATCAATTTTCTTTTTTTAAAGCAATGCACAGAATTCTTTACAAGAGAGCCAGGATATTATCTCTTTGTTCTATCTTTACCCAAAGGTTTCAAACTTCAATGTGATCGTATCTACCGCTATTTTATGTAACTTATTTAAGAAACGCTTCTCCACTAAGTGATATAATATTCACCCATATTTTTTCCCTAAGTTATATAATTCTGCTTTTCCATGTTTATGTCTTTAAATAGGCTGAAGTTTCTTCTGATTACAGTGTCAAGTAGGGATCTAATTTCCCCCTTCTCAGGAACCAACTGTCCCAGCACCATTTACTAGACAGCTTTTCCTTTCCCCACTTACCTGCATCACCACCTCTGTCACATGATATGAGGTAATAAGCAAAAGGAGAGGGTTTACATCTGTACTCTATTCTGTTCTACAGTCTGTATATCCCTACACTGGCATACATATCTCAAAAACTAAATTACTCTTTAAAATTACATAAATAAGCACAAATCACAAGTTTATTTTTCCTTTAAAAAAATTAGACATTAGAAAGAAAAAACTAAATTGAAGAGAGCAGTTGCCTTTGTGGGGAGGTAAGGAAGAACTGAATGGGAAAAAGTACAAAGGGGGCTTTACATGTATTTGTGATATTTTATTTCTTAAACTGCAGGAAGGGGGAACAGAAAAGATGGTTTATAATGTACTTTTTAAAAACAATCAAAATGATACAATGACAGATCTTAAAAAATTTAATCAACACTCAGAATCAGTAGACTCTAGTCCTCTTTGTTTAGAACTTGAAAGTACGGGATCCCTGGGTGGCGCAGCGGTTTGGCGCCTGCCTTTGGCCCAGGGCGCGATCCTGGAGACCCGGGATCGAATCCCACATCGGGTTCCCGGTGCATGGAGCCTGCTTCTCCCTCTGCCTGTGTCTCTGCCTCTCTCTCTCTCTCTGTGACTATCATAAGTAAATAAAAATTTAAAAAAAATTTAAAAAAATTTAAAAAAAAAAAAAAAGAACTTGAAAGTACATGTTAACATTCAGAATGAGAACACGTACAATATAGGTTTTTTAAAATGTACTCCAAAGCAAAGATTATATTTCACTAGTAAGATCTTCTGCTCTAACATAGCACCTATTAACTACTGAATGAGTAGTATGACCACAAACAAGAGAGGAATTCTATTGTATTAGAAGAGCTGTATGCTTGCCCAATCGCTATGATTGGAAAAAATAATAATTTAAAAATTCCTTCTCTGTTACGTAGAAAACCAGGCCCAAAGCTGCAGTGGAGCAAGATGCAACCATGTCCCAAATAAAATTATAAGGGCTAAGAAGAGTGCTGATTCAGACCTGGGGAGAAATCACTGTTTAATTCAAATGGGAACTGGAGTAGGGACCCTGAATAAAACATATCAGGTCACTCCAGGAGGGAAAGGATACCTGCAAAAGGCACCACGGGAGCCCTGGTCTATACTCAGGTAATCTTAGGGAAAAGGCTCATTTTAAATGAATATACACCCAACAGATCAGTGGTTAGGGGTAAGAACAGAGGCTGAAGGAGCCTGAAGAAAACTTTTTTGGTAACAGAACTGTTCTCTATATTCTCTATTATTATTATTCATTTGAGAGAGAGAGACGGAGAGAGCACTAGCAGAGGGGAGGGAGAAGCAGAAACCCTGCTGAGCAGGGAGCCTGACATGGGGCTTGATCCCAAGACCTGGAGATCATGATTTATACTGAAGGCAGACGCATAACCAGCTGAGCCACCCAAGAAACCACACAGATGCTCTCTCCCAATAATCTAATTACCCAAAGTAATAAAACAGTATTATATTTTCTTATAACGTAAGTACTTCTTTATGGTAGATGAGTAATACAGTTAAATTTTACAAATTACTTACCTAAGGTGCATCTAAGCTGAGGCTGAAGCCTAATGAAAATTTCATCTCTGACTTCATTTAGACAGGCTTCTATCTTTGCAAATATTTCTGAAGTAAGTTTTTCACAATCTCCATCTAAAAATGAAGTACATATTATTAACTTACCAATCTATATCTTTCCACAGAAAATTAAAACATTACCAAGAATGTAAATTCATCACAGTCAATAAATTTTGCAGAGACAAAATGGAAAACACAAAATTTCCTTAATTCTCATTCCTCTCTCTGTGCTATACCATATATTGCCTTAATATTCCCTCAGCCCAGTATCATTAGTTCCAAATGCATGAGCCAGAATCAGGGCTTGAGTAAATCTCAGTGAAAGCCTTTCTCAACCAAATAGCCACAGGCCTAGTAAAAGAGCTACATATTCAGATATTCTGCCTATCCTTGAAATAAATGAAGCTATGTTTTTACATGTAATTATTACTCATTTTAGAGACATCTACCCATTTATTTCTTTGTAGAACTTTTATTACCGCACATGAATTTGCATCATTAAAAACTTTGTGGGTTAGTTATTACACTCCCAACTAAACCACAGTTTTTATTAACCCTTATCCTACTACTAGACATTTAGATTGTTTTTCTCACTATTATAAATATTACCATGATAAACATTTTCTAGGCACATATTTATCCATGTTTTTGTTCATTTCTTTAGGATTAAAGTCCTCAAAACAGAATTAATTGTGCCAGAAAACCAGCCCCCATATAAATCTGACTCTAATTATTCTTTTTTTTTTTTTAAAGATGTTATTATTTATTCATGAGAGAGACAGAGACAGAGAGGCAGAGACACAGGCAGAGGGAGAAGCAGGCCCCATGCAGGGAGCCCGATGTGGGACTCCTTCCCAGGTCTCCAGGACCACACCCCGGGCTGAAGGTAGTGCTAAATAGCTGAGCCACCCAGGCTGCCCTAACTCTAATTATTCTTAAGCTACAAAAGATTTCACCAAAATGTATTACAAATAATTCATATAGCCTGATCATATTCTGTTGATCTGTTTTACTATGAAACTATCTGTATTCTCCTATAATAATAAGTAAGCATTAACCAGAATTTTTATTTGACCATATCAAAAAAAAGGAGAAAACTGTAAGCTTCAATTCAAAGACAACTTAAACAAATGCAATTACAACCAAGTTACAAAACTACAATTATTCTGCAAAAAATTAATATAACTGAACATACAACATAGTGAAATAAAGAAAATTAAGAGCATACTCACTAAGGTAGAGAACTGCTGAATCATTTCATTGTACACCCAAGACTAATACAACACTGTATGTTAATTATGGTTCAATAAAAAAAGAAACAAAAAATAAAGTGGCTATGCTTTATAAAAAAATATAATTAAAATTAATTCAATATTCAAGTCAAAATTTGAACAAGAAATATGCTCTTCTGTAATCATCGACTGAACTGTTACCTAATTCAGTATTGAGGTTCCTGTAATTATAGAGAACAGGAATACACAGAAGAAAAGGCAAAAGCAAAAATTCTTGTGAAAAACTGAATTTTAAAACTTGCAAAAAATTTAATCTCAAACTCAGAGCATTTCTTATCCAACAAAATTATAACTTTAAAAAGGTCTATATTCAAAGGTGATCTGAGTGCTCTGGGATGTTTTCTTCTACATATGAAAATGGAATTATATGTTGATACAACCCTTCTGGAAAGCCATTCAGAAAGACTTTTTATATTTAAATTTTATTATCTCTTCTAGGATATAACCAGCAATGGATCCAAAGGATATGAATTATTTGTCACAGTCTTTATTCATAATTGCAAAAATAATAAGTACCCAGAATGGTCAATAATGGGAAAACAACATACAAGATTTATATATAAATGCACAACCCAAATCATGTTGAATAAAGGTAAGGATTCTTGCCCTACTAGATAGCAAGACCTAAAAAGCCACAATTAAAATAGTGTGGCATCAGTGCAGGGACAGAAAAATGGTCAACAATGGGGAACCAATGTACAAGATTTACATAAAACACTGCACAACCAAAGACAAATTGAATAAAGGTGAGGATTCTTCTACTATCAGACAGCAAGACATCAATAACCCTGGTAATTAAAATAGTGTGGTACTGACACTAGGATAGATAAAGTAACCAAGAAAACACATGTTTAGAGTTAATGAACAGCTACACACATATATGGAAGGCTATGTAACAAATGTGGCTTGGCAGATCAGTTGAGGAAAAAAGTGGAGATGAAAAGACTGGCTAGGCAATGGGGGGGAGGGGAAGGGATCATTATCACACACAAAAATTAACTTTAGGTGAATTAAAATTCAAGGTCAGCAACAAAACTTTATGACTTTCCAGTGCAAATAGAGCTGAATGACTTTCTAATTTTGGAAAAGACTCCTTTTAAATGTCAGAAGTATTACTAGCTACAAAAGATTAACAATTTCTGTACATCAAAAGATATCTTTATAAAAATAAAAATGTAAGATACAAATTAGGAGATTTAGCAACACATATCTGACGCAAAGATAGCAACAAAGACACAGAAGCTCAAGTACATGACAATAAAACAAGTCAGGATAAGACACAAACAGGCATTGCACAAGAGAGGAAACATTATCAATTCTACACTTGAAGAGCTATCCAACCTCTTTAAAATTTAAGAAAAGCAGAGAGTTGGGGTGGGGGGTAAAGAGGTGAGGGAACTAAAGAGTACACCTGTGATGAGTACCAGGTGATGTATGAACTGCTGAAGCACTGCACTGTATACACCTGAAACTAATATAATATTATGTTAACTGGAATTAAAATAAACATGTAAATAAAATAAAATAAAATTTGGGAAAGGCAAATCAAGACCACAAACCATTCTGCATCATTCAAATAGCGAAATTCTCCAAGTGTGAAGATAACCAAGGGAGAATATATGGATCAGGAAGATCTCTTACACATTGCTAATGGGAGTATTGATTGGTACAACCAGTTTGGACAACAATTTGCCATTATCTTGTAAATCTGAACTAAAGCCAATGATTTAAGATTTTATTTATCTAAGAGAGAGCACACATGCACACACTAACATAAGCTGGGGGGAGAGGGAGAGAGACAAAATCTAAAGCATATTCTGCTTGAGACCTCTGTCCAGGTCCATGGGGCTCAATTCCACAACCCTGAGACCAAAACCTGAGTTGAAATCAAGTCAGACGCTTAACTGAATGAGCCACCCTGATGCCCCAGAGCCTATGCTTTGATTCTATTACTGTGGTATACCAAAGAGACACTCTACTTGAGCCCAAGAATAGTTCTGGAAGCACTATTTACAATGGCAAACAACTCAATGACAGGTGAATGAATAAATATACTGATTTATTACAAAATGGTTATCTATAGCAATCAAAAATAAGGAACTACCAATTCAAGCAGTTTCATAAATAAATATTTATAAAAAGGAAAAAAAGGGGGCGCCTAAGTGGCTCAGTTGGTTAAGCATCTGCCTTCAGCTCAGGTTATGATCCTGGGGTCCTGACATCAAGGCCTGCATCGGCTTGCTGAGCAGGGAGACTCCTTCTTCCTCCTTCTCCCTCTGTTGTCCCTGTTTGTACACTCTCTCTCTGTGTCAAATAAATAAATAAATCTTAAAAGAAAAAAAAAAAAAAAGGTCCCAGGGACACCTATGTGACTCAGTGGTTGAGCCTCTGGCTCAGGTCATGACTCCGGGGTCCTGGGATGAAGTCCTGCTGCCTTCTCCCTCTGCCTTTGTCTCTACCTCTCTCCCTTGTGTCTCTCATGAATAAATAAATACAATATCAAAAAAAGAAAAAGGTCCCAGAAAAACATACTGTACAACATTCTTAATTAAAAACAAAGTAAAGCAGGCAATATGTTGTTTAGCAATACATATGGTAAAAGAAAATATTTCAAAAAAGAAGAAATGATATAACACATTTCTGGTTAATAATTATCTTTGGAGGGGAGATGAGAATGGGAGAAGACCACACAGGTAGATTAAGTTACTGGAAATATTTTAATTCTTTTGGGTTGAGAGGTGGGTTCATGGGAATCCTATTGAAAAAAATTATATATATCCTTTATTGTGAATAGAGATTCTTGGAGAGTTGTGGAATAGGGAGCGATTTGTAGCTGTATGTTCTCCAATTGTTATGAGACAAAACTGAACGTTAACTTCTTTAAATATAAAAGATAAATTATTATTACTAACCTTTAATTCCATCCAATTGATTGGTGTGCAGAAGCTTATTAGCTTGATTATACTTCGTAAACAACTGCCAGAACACAGAGTCCTCATTAGGGCACAGGTCAGTCGCAGTGTTTTTTAACCCTTCCAAGTGTACCAAGGCTGACAGAATACAATCTAACCAACAGAGAGCATTAGCATTTTTCCATTGGACACATAAAGACTGGCAAAGTGATGTACATTTGCTCTCCAATGGCATTTCCAGTTCAGACATGCATCCTTCATTTTGAGGAGAAATCCCTCCAGTTCCAGAAACATCAACTGTAGAAGGATATCCTTCAGCAGCCAAATCAATAGTATCAGCCTCCAAAATCTCAGTCTGTTCCAAGGAATCAGCTGTCCTAACTGGATTCTGTGGACCACTGTGTGGTAAATCAGGTAAGCGAGACGAGGTTTTATCATATGCTTCTCCATTATCTTTGCTGTTCAAATCTTGTTCACCATCAGTAACAATATGATTTTTAGTCTTTTTGGCATTTGCTAAAAGAGATGCATCTTTACACTTGGTTTCCAAGAACTTTCTTTTTTGAGGCTTATTTGGAGTGTGACAATCTTCCAAATCAGGAGAAATTAAGTTATTAAGTGATTTAGAGCCCAAAGGATAGATGCACTAGAAAGAAAAAATAAAATGATAAAAACTATAAATTCAAATAAGCTTACGTTTTATATTAGTATCTATGTCATAAAAAATAGAAAAGTTTAGCATCAATACAATTTTACCAATCTAAAATTAAATGAACTAGGGAATAAACAAAAATTAATCAAAATTTTGGCTCCCTAAAGCGTAATTTGCCCTAGTTAATTTGAACAATCAAGGGTTTAATTTGATCTACACTAAAGTAGCTAACAAAGAAAACATACGTACCTCTGCTTTAGTAAAAAATCTAATGTTGAGTGAACTTACAAATCTCAACAATTTAAAGAAACATTCTGTGATGGGTTCTATTCTTTTTGGGACAGGTACATTGCGTAACATTAAAAACTGGAAAAATATTTTCATTTTGAGGGGGGAAAATATTTCAAATAAAGAAATGTGCATTTGTAATTTCCATGTTTCTTAATTTAAAAATTGAATATTAATCTGAGAGCACATCTACATAACAATTTTTATATCCTTACTGGACTTAAGAGGCAAACTGGCTGAATTTTAACAACTTCATCAAATCTCATTATCAACACGATTTCAGCCAAATATCAAAAGTGTAGACAAATCACCAAAATAACCAATTTTCCCCAAATTGGAAACTAAGAAAATATTTTAAAAGACAAATTCAAGAAATCTACATACTATGTGTCTTCATTTAAAATAATGCCTTCTTCTATACAAGCATGGCAATGGCAACTGCTACCCTGGTGGCCTCTAATGAACTAGAGAACTACCCCTCCTGCTATCTATGCCCTGGTAGAGTTAACCCCCAACTGCATCACTTGGGGCTTAGCCATGTGACCAGCTTTGATGTGATGTTAGCAAGCATGATGCACATGGAAGCCTTATAAGCATGGACTCACTGGGATAGTCCTTTTGGAGCCTTCCTTCGGGAACACTCCTTAAAGAAATCTCATCCATCATACGGTGAGATGTCCTTGTCCTTGCCCAATTAGCCTCATGGAGAGACTGTCATGGAAAAGAACTGAGATCTTGGCTGACTGCTAGGCCTGTGTTCCAAGTTGGCAGCTATGTGGACATTTTAGGTTTCCCAGTCAACAACAGGTGAAGTGTTAAGAACTACCTAGGCAACCCACAGAATAATGAAGAATAATAAGTCAAGCCATTAAGTTTTTTTTAGTTAGTATGTTTTGAGCAACAGATACTGAAATGTGCTAAATCCTTTCTTAAAGTAAAGCTTCTTCTATACAAGTGAACACTACATTCATAATATTGTACTTAAGAAATTCTTTAGTTTCACAGGATAAGTTCTGGATTCTTCTCACTGTTACCAACTAGTAGTACACTCACCATCAACTAACAACTTGACCCTCAACTTTATACCTTGAGATTATTTCCTAAATCCTACCATGTCAGAAAATAGAGAACATTTTAAAACAGCAATAATTTTGTACTCATAGTCACAGACCGGTATATAAAAAAAAAAAAAAAAAAAAAAAAAAAAACCCAAAACAAAAGCAGGACCTCAAAAAGGTATTTGCACACCCATACCCATTGCAGCATTATTCACAATAGCCTATAGGTAGAAGCTACCCAAATATCCATGAATGGACAAATGAATAAAAAAATGTGTATATACATACAACAAAATATAAGTCAGTCTTAAAAAGTAAGGAAATCTGGTCATAGGCTACAAAATGTATAAATATTGAGGACCTTATGCTAAGTAAAATAAGTCAGTCATAAAAAGACAGATATGGTATAATTCCACTTATAGTAGTCAAATTCACTTATAGTAGTCAAATTCATAAAGACCAAACGCAGAATGGTAGTTTTCAAAGGATAGAAAAGGAAAGCTGTTATTCAATGGGTACAGAATCTGAGTTTTTCAAGACGAGAAAGTTCAAGAGATCTGCTGTATAATAACGTGAATACATCTAACACTCCTGAATTATACACTTAAAAAAATGATTAAGATGGCAAATTTCAGTTTCTTTTACAATTAAAATTTAAAAAAAATAAATAAAAAATCTTTATCTCAAGCAGAGTCAAGATCATGGTGTGCACATCTTATCAGTACCCCGAATTAAAAACAATAAACAATAAAAGGGCCCTTGGGGCTGCAAAATTTAGTGGCCTAGATGGTTTCCCCCTATATTATTTGAAAATGTCTTAACAGACTTTTCTATCTATAATTTGTGCTCCAGTCATAGGGACAATTTAAAATACAATTTGTCCTTGCCTTGATTTTCCCTTTTATAAATTAATGCTTTCAGATTTTTCTCTTTATACCTTGACTTTAGCTACTACTTTGTATTTATAATGAACATATGCCGTTTTGGTAACTAGAAGTTGTTAGCCTGTCTTCGAAAAAAGTAAAGTCATAAAACAGTAATTCAGAGTATTAATTTTTCCATCTAGCCCAACCATGCAAGAGCATTTAAAAATCTAAGGCTGAAAAAAATCTAATGCTGTCTCTTTCACTGTTTTTGAGCAGCTTAAATACATTCCCGTTTTTATTCCTATAAAACAGAAAAAGGAAAACATTGCACATTACCTTATATTTGGAAAATCAGCTATAAGGTATGACTAAAAACAAAGTATAAAAATATTTACAAAAAAATTAACTTACATTTATTTTACAAATGAAAACCAAGAAAATGAGTATTTTCTTTGATGACTTAACACTAACAACTTCAGAGCCTTATAAATTTCATGTTTTAAAAAAACTAAATATTCCAATAAAAGATTAAATAATATAATAATAAAAAATGAGATAAAACTCCCTAGAGTTTTAAAAAACTTGAGTTTCAATTTATTAATTTGGAAGCAGAATCTCAATCTTAGTGCTTTTTCAAATCAAGAAACTTCTGATGAAGAGGAGTTTCCATTGTGGTTCTTTGCAATTTGGTAAGTGAAAGAATGTTCAATGAGCTTCAAATTTTATAATAAAACTCAAGAGAAATGAACAAATTGAGTCAAAGGTCTCATAGACCAAAGATCAGTAAACTCTACCCGTAAAAGACCAGATAAATATTTCGGGCTTTGTGAGCTAGTCAAGGTCTCCAGCATTACTACTTAAGTCTGCCATTATAATACAAAAGCATCCACAGACAATGCAAAAATGATTCCATATGGCTTTATTCCAAGAAAATATTTTTATGGACACTGAAATATGAAATTCATATAACCTTCATGTATTATAAAATAGTATTTTCATTTTTGCCTAATTATTTAAAAACATATTGTTTTTAGCTTGTGGGTATCATAGTTTGCTGACTCCTGGTCTAAACCAATATACTTCATAAAATATACACAGGGCTCTTACTGATTAGAACACTTCCTAAAAATTAGAGCAATAATTACTTTAAATTTTTTTTTTACATCTGTAAAGTATAAACTTAAAATGCTTGGTTATATTATTATTTTCCTCATCACTTAAAAAAAAAAAAAAGCTCCAAAACTAAAAATGCAAGTAATACCTCTAACTTTAATAGCCAAAATCTATGGCCCAAGGACAGGGACTTCTTTATTACAGCAGTCCATAGTTAAAGAACTCTACTGAAATATCATACATTGGAAGAGGGGAAAAAAGTAGTTTTCTTCTAGAAAGATTTCTCTCTTTCCCATATTTACCATTCTACAACTTTGTTCTGAGCTAGTTAATGAGTAAATTATGTAGTCTATTTGGATAAGCTGTCAAACCCCCTAAAATCAAGCTCTCTCATTGTTCAACAGAGCCCACTGTCTGCTTCAGAGATAGCTCTCCAGAAATTCCGTGACACTTTCTATTTTTCCCTCTCCACTGGATACAACCAACAAACGTGTTATTTTTCCCAACTTAAAAATTTCCTCCTCCAGGTACCACCTCACATCTGTATTTCTCAGTTTCTCCTCTCCGGTTTTCTATCACTAACTCCAACCAAGTTTTTACCTAATACTTCACTGAAACTATTCTCAAGGTTCTCAGTGATGCCCACAACACTCCAGCCAAAGGTGAATTGAATCGTCATTCTCCTTGAGTTGAAGGTAAATAATTTCCTCCTTAAATATTTTTTTCATTTTACTTCCAGGACAAAATACTCTCCTCTTTCTGGGTTTTCTTCTACCTCACTGTCCACTTCTTCTCTCACTCCTTTCCTAGTTTCACTTCATCTCTTCAATTTCTTAATGTGGGAGTGTAACAGGGTTTAATCCCTGGATCACTATCAATATTTCTAGGTAAGCTCATCCACTCTCATGGTTAAATTATTTACATGCTGATGACTCCCAAACTCTCTAACCTCATTCTCAACCTAATACCAGACACATAGATCCGACCACTTCTTTCTTTCCTTTTTTTTTAAAAAAAGATTTTATTTATTTATTTATTCTTGAGAGAGAGAGAGAGAGAGAGAGAGACGCAGAGATACAGGCAGAGGGAGAAGCAGGCTCCACGCAGGGAGCCCGATGTGGGACTCGATTCTGGTCTCCAGATCACACTCCTGGCTGAAGGCTGCACTAAACCGCTGAGTCACCGGGCTGCCCCGACCACTTATTTAATATACCTTTGAGTATTAGATACCTATCTCAAGCTTGACTGGTCCTAGCCTGACCATCCCCCAACCAAAATCTCTTTCCAAAGTCTTTCTCATTTTAGTAACTGGCAACTCCACTCTTCCAATTATTCAAGCCAAAAATCTGGTCATCATCCTTGACTCCTCTCTCTTCTACAATGTATCCCAGTCTTTCAATAAATCCTTTTTGCCTCTACTTTCAAAATAGATAGATAATCCAACCATGTCCCATCACCTAAGCCACTATTTGCTCCTCATGGAATACTCTAATTGCCTTCCAACTAGGCCCCCTACATCAGGTTTTGCCCATTACATATACTTTCAACACAGGAGCCACAGTGATCCTTTTAACATGCAAATCAGATTATGTCACTCCCTCTCCATTTCAGTCATAGCAAAAGCCAGACTATTTTACAACGACCTCTAGGACCCTACTTGGTCCAGCCCCCTCCTCATTATTTTCCTGACCCATCTTCATTACTGTATCACTTACTCAGAACCAGCTCTGCTAATTTCCTTGCAGTATAACAAACACACACAGGCAACCTTTACTCTCTCAGGGCCTTGTACCTGCTACTCTCCCTGCATGGAATGCTCATCCATCCCACATCCACATGACTTGTTCTCTTAGGTTTTGCTCAAATGTCACTTTCTCAATGGAGAGTTCCCTCTACCTCTCTATCTAAAATTGCTAACTACCCACTCCCTAACACTCCAGTCCCCGGGCTTGACTTTTCCCCATAGTACTTTTCATCACTTCACACACAAAAAATACATTTTATTTATTGATTTTTCCCCCCATCTAGAATAGAACCACCTTCTTGAGGGTATATTTTTTTGCTTTATACATTGTATCCTACTCACTGAGTGCCAAAGTGGTGACACTCAAAAAAAAAAAAAAAGGTATTGAATAAATACAAAAAGAAATTTATTTCTATTTGTAAGAATGTCTGGGATTTTCTTCAAGTTATACCCAACAAAAATATCTATCACCAACAGTATGATTTAGTTTAGAATTTTGCAAACTGATCATCAGACTCATCTCTGCAAGTTAAAAACCTCTATAATTCTGGGTCAATTCTACTAAATTTGGCATCTGGGGGTAAGACCCAGAAATTTTTAAAAAGTACTCTAGGTGATTCTGATAAACTGCTAGTTTACTTAGAATAAAACATCTGAAATTAGAAAACTATATTCCAATTATAGTTCAGCCACCTTATGTTCCTAACCCTCTGTATCTGATTTCTTATTCATAAGATGGAAATATCTACCTTTCAAAGTTCTAAGAACTAAACATGTATATAAGAGTTTCATAGTGGCACCCGGGTGGCTCAGGGGTTGAGCATCTCTACCTCTGCCTTAGGTTGTGATCCTGGGGTCCTAGGTCTGAGTCCTGCATCAGGCTCCCCGAAGGGAGCCTGCTTCTCCCTCTGCCTACGTCTCTGCCTCTCCCTTATGAATAAATACAATCTTAAAAAAAAAGTTTCACAAATTGTCAACTACGATAAAATATAGATTATGCAATTTGATGAACTCCTCTAATAAAATTGTACCACTAGGAGCACCTGGGTGGCTCAGCCAATTAAGTACCTGATTTCAGCTCAGGTCATGATCTTGGGGTCCTGGGATCTGAGTCTTGCATGGGGCTCCCCACTCAGCAGGGAGTCTGCTTATCCTTTTCTTTCTGCCTCCACCCCCACTTGTACTCTCTCTCAAATAAAATCTTCAAATAAAAAAAAATATATCATTGGATACAAATTCTATAGTTAATTCTAAAAGACATTTAAATCTTTAAGTATATAATATTTAGAGATTAATAACTTTTCTAATTAAGTTCCAAAGTTTATAAACCAAAGAGATGAAAGGATAACCACTATATACCAACAACTAACAAAGACTCCCACAAGGTTAAAAAAAAAAAAATCCATCTTGAAATTTTCTCCTCTCACAAGTCTAATGATAATAAAAACAAATATCTTCATGCAGTAACTGAGGAAAAGTAACAGGAAATATTTAAAACTGTATACTAGACAGATGTAGAAACTCTGATTATCTATGTATTAAAAATATACAGTCTAAAATATACAAAACAAGTACAAATTTAAACACTGAAGGAATAAGAAAAAAGCTAAAACCTTAATACTATCTAAGATTAATACTTTACCTGCAGATCCTCACACAAAAAGATAGATTCTTGAAAACTAATTCGGTAAGTCTTTAAGGCCTTTAACTTTCCTTTCTCTCTACAAGCAGGGCAATACCCATCTGACGGGGCTTTAGCTGAATCATAATTCTAAAAAAGAAATAAAGTAAATTAAAATATAGACATTCCTAGATTGTAACAAATTACAAAAAGTTAAATGGAAAAGTAACCAAGAAAAAAAAAATACAATTTTCACCTGAAAGTGTTCTGGCTACATATTTTAAACATGACAAATAAAAATAATGCATACAGGCTTTAAACATAGCTTTTATTCCAAAAAGAATGTATCATAGTTTTAAATCTTAAATTTTAAGTGTTAAAAATAGCATCAGTTTTATTTGCAAGAAAAAAAAAGTAATGTCAACTGTAAGGGAAAATATATGTCCCATATTTTCAGAGAATAATAAACCACAAGGTCTATGTTTTATTTCTACTTTCACATATGAAGAAAACACAGAGAGGTAAATACATTAATCTTTCGCCATTGCTTTAAGATTTCCGTGGAAGATACAACTTTTTAGAAGTTAACTGGTAAAATTAAACCGAGTTTAAGTCTCAAAAAGAGGAGGGAAAAAACCAACTTTGCACTGAGGCAAAAAATAAGTTCACTAACTTTTCCCAAATACCCCACCATGTGGAGTGAAGAAATCCCTATATCAGTCCCTGGTCCAATCACTGGCAAACCATTTCCAATCTTCGGGAAATCCATCATTCCGAGTCATTGGCTAATTTATGTCACTTGAAACATGTCAATATCACTAAGGATTTTTTCAATGAACCCTGGAAAAAAAAAAGTCAATAGACAATTAAATAAAAATCCTATTTACTTTAAAAAAGAGCTATGCTATCTTATAAGATGTATATATATTAAATAAATTTGAAACTATACACCCCAAGATAAACATATTCTAAAATTGTAATCTTCAACTGAAAACAAATTACCTATATTTACTTATAAACCTAGTAAATTTGTTAGAAGATAGCAGACTAGCAATAAAGACGAAGTTTCAGACTCATTTCTATGCAAATTCATTAAAACTTATAATAAAGGCAAACTGTTATTTAAATAAAAAATTATACTGATCAGAGTAAAAAAAACCCCAAGTTTTTAGAGTCTCTGCATAATCTAAAACAATTATGTCAGCATTATACTAAGAATGTATTTTAAAGACCCCACGTCTATTGTGCCATCGCTTGAAAGAGACAAAAGAACCCCTACTGCTTTCAACCACCAAAGTCACCAAGAAAATGCTATTTTTTTAAGTTTCCAACAATACACTAATTCATAATAAATGAACTGTATCAGACAAAAATATAGACACGTCAATAGTACAAATTATACATTACAAGCTTGCTTTGAGTAATTTCATGGAATAGAATCACATTCAGTAAAGTCAAAATTATAAGACTGGAGCTCGGGATAAGGAAAGATTAATTATTAAGAGTAGTTTAGATATTGATTTAAAATACTGGGAAATCAGATAAAACAGACTTTAAAGCAGAGTGAATTGCCACTTAGTAGGTATGTTGTAAAATAATTTCAAGCAAGTCTTTCCCAAATCTAATAATTTCTTTGACAACCACCTCCTGGGAAAATGTGTCTTTTGGATACACTTTAAAAACCAGTCACTCTATTCTGTTTCAGAAGTATAAATTTTACACATATTTCAAGCCAAGGAATAATTTCAAAAATAAAAATGCTTCTAAGAAAAGTGTAAGTGAATCTCAATTTCCCATTCCTGAAGAAATATTGCTAAAGGCAGGATTTCTCAACCACAGCACTGTAAACATTTTAGACAATTCTTTGCTGTGAGGGCTGTCTTGTACACCGTAGGATGTTTAGCAACATCACTGACTTCTACCTACTAGATAGTTAAGTGCCATTGGCACTCCTCAGTTGTGACAACCAAGAAAGTCTCCAGACGCTGCCAAATGACCCCTGGGAAGCAAAGCTGTCCCTCTGAGAACTCCTGCCAAAAACATAAAAATAAGTTTGGTACTAACTTCTACTTCTTCAGTTCCTCACAGACAACACCAACTTATTATTTTTGGCTGGCTCTATCTTTAATGTACTTAAAAAAGGGAACTATAAAGGAAAGAGTCAAACTGCTTATGGTTCCAGAGTGGCTCAAAGCATGGGCTTTACAACTGTACATCTGGGTTCAGAAATTTGTAAAACTGCTTTGTACTAACAATTTAATACAACAAAATATGTAAAATGCTTAGTACCTGAACAGACAGTATATTTGAACTCTTTATTCTGTGCTAATTTTATATTTCATTGTATGTAGCAAACATGCCGTGTTATCTTATAATTCTGCAGGATTCTCAAAAGAAAAATCAGTACTTTATGTATTCTGAGTAAGAGGTTTCTGATGAAAATTTCTATCTGCCTGAAGGAACTAGAACTTTTGGCCTGTTTTATCTCTCAATTATAAAAGTAAAACGTAAGCCTTCAAATTGGCTCTGATCCTGATCCCAGCAGCCAACATTTCAACGGGAAAAGCAGACAGGTAGTTGAAATTCTGAATATGCAAAACCCCACAAAAGAAAATTCATTAAAAAAAATATCAAGAGGTAAGCTGTCCAGGTCTTCTAAAAACAATTTCCTTTGTCTTTTTACAAAAACCCTGGAGTGGTTCTTACAGGTTAATTTGCCCTCAGTGATTGTCTTCATTGTTCTCCCTACCAAAGTAACCTGATCCTCTTTCTTGTATCCCACCTAGATTTTGCTATCTTCCTCTCCGTAAACACACAGACTAGAAAGTAGAAAATTTGAGTGATTGTCTAAACTTTCACTCCCCACTTGTTCATGCAGTAAGTCACCAAATTCTGTGGACAGTTCTTTGGAAGCCTCAAATCCCCCCTCTCCAAGCCATCCTCACTCTATCACTACCAAAGTGACGCCTGTAGTAAATCCAAGGTCGGCCAACGGCTCGGCTTAAATTCATCTATTTACTCCAACATCCAATGGCTCGGTTTAAAGTCATCTATTTACTCCAACCTGATTATGGAAAATTCCAAACAGCTCAGTATGAACCTGAGGATCATACTATGCATATTGCATACTACGCTCATTGCACTTGTGACCAACCTAGCTCTCCAATCTCACCATGCTCTACTCCACTTCACCCTCAGCACCTTTCTCCAGACGCCCTTTTTTCATTACTCCCGTAAGCCACGGATACTCCCGGACGCCGACAGTGCATTACTTAGCCTCATATGAACTCAGTTACAGCACAATGGAATGTGTAAAGCTGGCCCTGGGAATGACGAAAGACATGCAATTAAGCTTGTTTCCCAGTCCCGTGTGCAGCACAATGGGGAAACCCAGAGAACCAGCTGCTCCGAGAAGAGCCTTAAGCCCATTTGAGTTTGCACACACCCCTCCGTCTCCCCGCCAGCAGGCGGGCTCAGCACAGCAACTAGCTAAAAGGCAAAAAGCCACAGCAGACCTGAAGCCGAGGAAGGGGGAAGGGGGTCGGGGGTCGGGGGTCGAGGGTCGGCTTTGGGCGCCCGGCCCGGCACCGAAACCCAGCCGTCCGGAGTCATAGACGCACAGGGAGGGCCAAGACATGTTGGTTTCAAAACCCAACCTTAGGAACCCGAGGAGGCGCAGGGTTCCGTTGACCCTCCCCACCTCCGCGCTCTTTGGGAGAGCGAAAAACAAGACCACTCTGGTTTCTCTTCAGCATTTACCTCTCGGAGCCAAAACGAACCAGTAACTCTATAACTGCATTGGCAGCCCTTCCCCGCGAGCCGCGTCCCAGCCCCTTCCTCCCCCAGCCTAGCCCACCTTTTTGGCGCGCCGACTGCCCCACGGGCAGCCCTTCTTCCCCCGCTCCGTCCGCCTTCCCGACTTCGGGACCCGGAGGAAACTACTTCCTCTCCTCCCTCACCTGCCGCGCGCACTCCCCTTCTTGGCACCAGGTCGGTCCGAACTCCGGTTCCAGGCTGGGTCCACGACACCCTCCGCAACGTTCAACCCACGTTCCCCTCGGCCTGCTCCTCCCCCACCGGCCTCTCCGCTACAAAAGCGGCTTCCGGTCTGAGTCCGCCGCAAAAGAGTTCCCCTTCCTGCTGGGCGCGGGGCCCGAAAGGACGTCAGCGTGGCGGGGAAGACGAGAGCGGGAGCGCTTCCGGGCGGCCTCTGCAGAGGCGTGGCTGTCCGCCTAGCTGTCGCAGTCGCAGTCGCAGGTTTCAGCTGCGGCGACGGCTAGGGGCGGGGCCGGTGGCTGCCGAGCCCGGCATCTGTGAGTGGCTGGGTTTGGGGAGGCGACGGTTCTGGAAGCTGCTGGAAAGCGCTCGAGTGGCGGAGGTGACGCCAGCGGCCAGGGGGTGGGGCGTGATCAAAACTAGTGCGCGTCCGGCAGCGGAGGGATTACGCTGAGGAGAGAGCCCGGCGCGCGCCGCGTCGCGCCGCGCCCTGGCCCGGGCGAGCCCGGGTTGGCAGCGGACGCGGCGGAGAGCGACCTGGGTGGGTGGGCGGGCGGGCGAGGGACGGGCTCCCTGGCCTGCAGAGGTGGCGCGTGCCTGCAGCGCCGCGGCCTCGCCGCACGGGCGTGGGTCGCGCGCGGCCCCCGTACTCCGCTCTCCTAAAGCCTCGGTGCGAGCCGAGCAGCCACAGAGTGTGTGTTCACACAGGGTCACCACACACGGAGCTGCCCCTCCCTGTCTCCCCAAACCCCAGCTTCGAGGCCAGGGGCTTTTCTGCCAGGATTCTGGGGTGTTTCTCCTCCTTTCCTCCCTCCCAGATCTTCTAACGGTAAGGGGAGTAGCCGGAGCGCAGGGACGTTGCGCTCCACGACCCGTCCCGAGTGGTCAGCAGCCCGCCTGTCCCTGCTGCGCTCGTCTCAGCTGCCCTGCCTTGTTCTCAGAAAGGGAGAATTCTCATTTAGTTGACAAGTGTGAGACTCTGCTTTCGCAGGAAGGTCCTGTGGTTTAGGGGACATGGTGACCGCGTGTGCTATTTCTGACCTGCATTCTGCATCTTGGAGCAGCGTATTGGGGAAGTCCTTTTGGGCGATTGCTTTTATGTCCTAGAGTAACACGTAGTTTCTGACCGTTTCTTTTTACAGAGTGGCCACCGTCGGCATTTGGGACTGTGGGGGTATTTTTAGTGGTCTCAAAACTAAACTATATTCTGGAATAATGCTGGTAATTTTGATAGGACGGTATAGAGGACGCAAGTCCTGTAACCAAGGGATTCCTCTGTAAAAAGGATTTTAGTTTTCGGTACTTAAACGACTGCATGTGGCCAAGAAATCCAATAGAGAGTTTGTTTTTCTGCAGACTGAAAAGCAGGCTGGTTAGGTTTTGTTTACCTTCTACCGTTGTACTTGATTATTAATATACCGGCATGTTTGTTGTAAGATACAGCTAGTTTTCTTTTTCAAATGAATTATGAAAATACGAGAATGTAGTATTTCCTTCTTGAAGTGATAGCCAAACTCAGAGTTTTTCCTGTTCACCGTTGCTGTTTCCATTTTTAGGATGGGAAACACTTTTTTTTTTTTTTTGTAATAAATGCTTGCTGAAGTGTTCGTCAGTAGAACAAAGATAATTGATTCGGTTAAAAATTGTAACTAAAATTTTAATATTGAAAAATCAACATCGCCAAACTGAATTTTGATATAATTTATAATTAAATTTGATATAATATAATGAAACGTTTGTAAGGTTGATTTATGTCTTTTAGTGCAAATTTGATTTTTTTTTTTTTTTTTTTTTTTTTGGCCAGGAAAAAGTATGTAATAGTAACACAAACAAAATGGATGTGGGGTTTGGGATGTGGAAAGAAAACAGGATTTTAGCATATGCTGAGTTTTGACGCCAGAGCTTTTCCCCTCTTGTAAAAGATTTAAAAAGTTCTGAGAGACTTGATAAGGTAAAAAGAATGATGGCATCATAGGACAATCCATTAGAAGACCTTGCCTAGAAAGCCTCCTTTCATTTAAAGTAGCAGGCCCAGGTTGAGAAAAATAAATACGTTTATGTTTTTTCTTTACTAGTGTATTTGAATGCCCCTTCCTTTGTACACTAGTCCCAGAAAAAGAATTAAAGCAATCTCCTTGTCAGCAGTGTGGGACAGAAGTTTTATTTACCTGTTTCCAATTAAAAACTAACAATCTAATTAAAGAGAGATTTTATTAAATTAATGAACAGCTACAATAGGAATATAATGTACGATTAAGGTTTTCTTTCTTTCTTTCTTTCTTTCTTTCTTTTTCTTTCTTTCTTTCTTTCTTTCTTTCTTTTTCTTTCTTTTTTTTTTAATAAACTTCTCATAATGTCAGGTTTTGTCCCATCGGCTAGGTTGGATTCCTTAATCACAAGCCAAGTCTTCAGCCCAAACCTGGGATATAAAAGCAGCCTGCTGTGATTGGTTATTCTGATCTCAAAAAGATGAGAGCTAAAGTAACTAACCATGGTTTTTAGCAGCACCTTTATGAGTACAGTCTATTTAATCTTTTATTTCATTCCAACATTCAGGAGGCTTTACAAACCAAGAACTTTTTAAACTTGGAGACAAAATTCATTTGGTAACAAAATATGAACTGAGTAAATGAGAAGTTTTTTATAGTTTTTATCCCATATGTTTTGCTGAAGAAATATTTTTATGTTTGCTTATGGGGTGCTACCCTTGGCCACTGGTATGGGAGGTGTAAATTACATAATGATTTGTGTACCTTGTAACATTTTTATATTTCAAGGAATTATTATTTTTAAAACACATCCAGACTCTGGGTTTTGGTTAAGGAATGTGAACCCATATTCGTATTTTTGGCAGTACACATGTGCTAGGCATTTGCATATTTAGAAAATTAAAACACTTTAGTTCTTGCCCTAAACTGAATTCAGTTGAGAGAGGATAGAAAAAAGTATACATGTCATACTGTAATATTCGCAGCCATGGAGATATGCACAGCCTATTTGTAAGTGTAGCCACATCAAGGTCACATGAGAAATTCATAGTCTGAGGATTTGAGGTTATTTCACATTTTAGACAAAACATGACAACCCATTATGTAGCCTAAACTTGTTTGCATTTTGTATGGACAAAATATTGAGAAAACAGTACGATTCTCAAGAGTCACAGAGTAGATACTGGAATATCTGATTTCTGATCCTCTTTTGCTGTGTGACCTTACATGAGTCACATAATTTTCGAGGCCTTGGTTTGCAGATCTGTAAGTGAGAAGTTTAGAATAGATGGTCATTTATAGTTCCAATATTCTATCTGCAGATATTTATCCTTAGCACTATGCCTACTTTTTGTAAATGTTTTCCATTAAAAGCATGATCCTCTTTTGTCTCAAACTACGTTAGATGATCTAAATTTTGTGGGGTTTTTTGGGGTTAAGTAATACTTCTCACTGTTCAAAATTAAAAATGTAAAAAAGAATATGCAGTGAAAACTTTTCATTTCTGCTCCTGCCCCTAAGCCACCTAGTTCCTTGCCTATGAAGTAACCAATGTGAAGAGTATCTTGTGTATTTTTCCAAAAAAACGTACATGTATATATAAGCAAATAAATACTACATATTTTTTGCCTTTTTTATGTAAATGGTATTATACACAGTTTATGTACTTTATATTTTTTCGTTCATCTTGAAGTTCTGTGTCATATAAGGTGGCTTTTTACTCATTTTTATGGCAGCATAATATTCCATTGTATGATGTATCGCTTCATCAGTCCTCTCCTTTTGGGCATTTACATTTTTTTGCTTGGTTTTTATTAAAAGCATTATGCTGTGAATAACTTTGTACATTCATCATTTTCAATATATGTGAATGTCTTTTCCCTAAACAGTGGCACAGCTCTATTGGGATAGTGACATAGTTGATAAAATATGTTATTTAGTTACCAATAACAAAAAATTGATGGCTCAGGGTCTCAACAGTACATTACCAGGGTTCCATCATTCCAACTTTGACTTATGTTGCTGTCTCTGCCATTATAGTATAGTGGCATAGCTAGAGTAAACATATCAATAAATCACATCATCTGAATGGCTGTTTATTTGAGCCTTAGATGAAGCAAGTAGATTATATGTAGGGACCTTGTCCTAAACAATCAAATAAGAATATATGTAAGTATATGTAAATGTTTATGTAAATGTTTAAACACTAAAATCATGCAGCAGAGCAAGATTTTCAATGAGAGTCTTATAAGAATGAAGACTAATTGATGTAGCAACATATTTCTGCTTTCCAGCTCATGTTTATTCCTGGGTGTATACTCATTGAGTACTATTTAAATTTATATTTTTCTTTTAAACTTCTTTACCAAGCACATTTGACTTTATGTAAGATACAACTTGTATAGTATTCCCACTTTACCAATAAAAAAACTAAACCTAGAAGTAAACAATTGACCCGGATTTGTATAGCAAAGTGGCAGACCTGGGACTCGAACCTGCATCCTCTAATTTCTAACAGAGGGCTTTTCCCAGTATATCACATGCTCTTACCATTTCACGTGTAGCTATAGCAGTAGATCTGAAAATGCCCAGTGGTTAGAGACTGCTTTAGGTACATCTCCTCTGCCTAAGCTCCAGAGCAACCTAGAGTACAGAAAGCAGCAGGGTGTTTTTCTGAAGACAAAAGAATATTTTATAAGTAATTATTGAAGTAATTACACAACATGTTGATTAGCAATCAGGAGGACTCCAAATCAAAAAATTAAAGCTGATCTAGAGGAACACTGTTCTTTCCTAATTGGGACACAGTCATCACTTGGAGATGAATTTATCAGTCATAAGGACTGGAGAGAAATTAGGATTATTTGGAAACAGTCTGACATTCATGCCATTTTTAAATTTAGCCAGGAAAATCTGAACCATCAGAAAAGGAGAATTGGTGATAGAAAGAACTGCAAAAGACTTGGTAAATAGAAGGATGGAGAATGTGCTGTAGTAACTACATTCCCCTGAAATTGGAATTGTAACATATGACCACCACCCCTGCTTTAGGGCCTTAATTCTGGCTATTCCCCTTTTCCCTGCAAATTTGACTCTTACCCTTCAAGTGTCAGCCTCAGTTTCACTTGTCAAGCTGTCCACCCTATCTGAGTAGTAATCTGTCTGCCACCCCTATCCTAATACCTAATTAGCACCTGCTCTTTGTTTTCTTAATTGTGTGTGTGTTGTCAGTCTCCACTAAGTTGTGTGCTCTGTGAGGGCAAAGA